AAGTTCCGGACAATTTAGAAATTACTATTTGCCTACTGTTAGTATTTAGTAATAGTCTGAATACCCCAAAAATATATTTTCTCCTGTTAAATTTTGTGTCGAGAGACAAGGTGGGTGGCTTCATTTTACAGTTGCAAAATTATGCTGCAGAAGATTTTAGTTTGTTCTCTTCCTTCGTGCAGGGATTTTTTGTCATTCTTTCGTGGATGCCGATCTACTTCAAAACGGTGAGGTCATAAAACTATGATTCGAATTTAAAGTGAACTTTAGCTTATGTTGTTGAAAGATAAATTAGAGAGATTTTGTTTGTTGTAGATATATCATGTTGACCTCAGACAAGCTGCATGGTTTAGTGCTGTTCCATGGAGTATGATGGCTCTCGTAGGCTACTTTGCTGGAGTTTTATCAGATATGATGATTCAAAGTGGCACAAGTGTCACTCTGACTCGCAAAATTATGCAGGTTATTTGTTTTACCTTTTCTGTACATGTAAACAGCACTCCTCCCTAATAAGACAATGGCTGCTTAAAAACCAATCAGATAAATAAATAAGTAATTAAAAAGAAAGAACGGAAACAAATTGCAAATGTGCAAGCCCCTTTTTTTTTTTTTTAATGTTTCCTTTCTCCATCTTTGACAGTCAATAGGATTTGTTGGTCCTGGTTTGGCTCTTATTGGTTTAACGATGGCAAAAACTCCGTTAATAGCATCTGCTTGGCTTACTTTAGCTGTTGGGCTGAAAGCATTTAGTCATTGTGGCTTTCTTGTGAATCTTCAGGTATGCGTACTCTGTGAAAGTTCATTTCTTAATTTTGCATATATAAGCCTCGTCTAACATATTTGCCCTATTCGTATATTTCCAGGAGATTGCCCCACAATACTCTGGTGTGTTACACGGTAGGTTCTCTGTCTCATCTTTAAACTTTCTTCTCTAGATTGGCATGTGGCTGCGAGCTGTAGGTAAAATTGTGTGAAAATTACGCACAATAGAAACCCATTCACTCATAGGTTGCATAAATAGAATTTATTGAACTATCAGCATTAATCCTAATTCCTAAAAAAAGAAACGGTATACATTTTGGATTAGTAGTAGCAACATGAAGATTCAGCTAATAGTAGCAATAAAATTCGATATCACTCGTGGGGAATGTTTATTTGTTGTACCGGCATTTTTTAACACGACGAGCCTCTTTACATACATAGAAAAGAAAAAAAAATCGACAAATCTAGTTTATAATTCTTTGTTCAGCAGTTGTAATAACATCATTACATTCATTTGTCTTCCATACAGGTATGTCTAATACTGCTGGCACACTAGCTGCTATAGTGGGAACAGTTGGTGCTGGTTTCTTCGTCGAATTAGTGGGCTCCTTCAAGGGCTTTTTGCTGCTCACTTCATTCCTGTATTTCTCCGCAGCTTTATTCTGGAATGTCTACTGCACTGGAGAGAGGGTCGATTTCAATGAAACTGCTTAACGGCCTTCAGATTTTGACCGTTTCTTGTCGCCAATTTGGACAACAGTGTTAGATTTAGAACTTAAAAGGGCTTTACAAATCATGAATATATGTTAAAAAAAATGTAGATTGTCTTTCATATTTTGTATATAATTGACTGTGCCAGCGCACCCGACAGACAAGACAGGAGTGTAAATAAGAATCTCCTTTTTTTGGCTAGTTTTTGTCAGTGATCTTAAGAATATGAAACTAGTGTCGGTTCATACCGATTTTTATACAGTCTGTCGTGGCAAAATTTCTCGACTGATGCCAAAATTATTATTTCTCGTTGGAGTTTGTTCGTGAAAATTGATGTTCTGCTGTATCTTACCATTAAACTATGAAAGTTCAACTCTTCTGCAGCTGTGAGTCATTAATTAAATCTCGATCGAATCGCTTACTTGTTCGAGTGTGAGTTGACATCATCAGGCAAATACCGTTTCCTCACACAGACTCTTTATTTTATGTTTGAAAACTGAAGTTTTGGTGACTATGTCAAAGTCAGTTAACAGGAAATAGCTGAATCAGTCTAATCAACCAAATTACAACATTAAAAAAATAACATAGTTGTCAATGGCAACAACTGCTATTTCGAATGGTTTAGCAGATGATGTAATCAGAATCGAATCTGGCCAGAGAGGCCGCCACACCACCACCAGCATCTGCCGATGAAGAAGACACAAAGTCCGTTAGTCATCCGCTCGGGTAATATCAGAAAACTCAACAGTACCATTTCCAGTAGTAATCACCGGAAAAGCCATCGCGTGTCCCTCAATCCCGTCTCGGTTTACATCAAAACCGCCGCAAAACGAATTGGTGGTATTTTTTCGGTGGTTTTCTCAAAACTCAAGAAAGCCGGTTCCGGTTTCAGCAGAGATCAAGTCCAGCAAAATAACCCTGGAGGCAGTTCTTGTAAGTTTAATGAGTTGACTTCTTTTCCTTTCTATTTTTTTTTTTTTTTCTGGATCAGAAATTAAAATTTGGCTGTGATATGCAGCTTTCGTGGGTAATTCTGCTGGTGACGACAGTAGGAAATCGTCGAGATTGAGGTATTCTAATTACGGTACATCTCCAGAGATAGAGATAGATACAGCACAGCTGAGAAGCAGTTTATCGTTCAAAGATATATACAAGGCGACAGAAAATTTCTCCGCTGCAAATCAAATCGGTGAAGGTGGATTCGGAACTGTGTACAAAGGGAAACTCAAGGACGGAAGCGTTTTTGCTGTGAAGCGTGCGAAAACGGTAAGTTGAAAAAAGCCTCGTACTTTTTATGAATTTGTTACATTTGATATGAAAAAAAAAAATCACAAGCTATATATATATATATATATATATATATATATATATATATATATATATATATATATTATTGTCAGGAAACTAGCGATCAGCGTTTGTCGGTAGAGTTCAAGAACGAGATTGTAGCCTTGTCGAAAATCGAGCACATGAGTTTGGTAAGATTTTACGGGTATATTGAGCATGGAAACGAACAGCTTATTGTCGTTGAATATGTCAGCAATGGGAATCTTCGAGAACATTTGGACGGTGAGTTAATCAAATATTTATTCCGTCGTACGAATATTATCAAATTCGTTGCGTTTTCTGATCCAACAAAAAAAAAAACGTGTCTAAATGACTAGATGATTCGATGCAGGGACACGCGGAAGTGGACTTGAAATCGGGGAACGTTTGGACATTGCAATCGATGTAGCTCATGCTGTTACCTATCTCCACACTTATTCAGGTAAATATAATTAATATTACGAAAATACGCACCGATTATAGGATTACAAAAAAAGTAAACTACAGTAGAACCTCGATAAATTAATAACCTCGCTTAAATAATAGTTTCTTCTGGTCCCGACTCGGTAAAAACCTACTAAATTATTAGTTCGATGATTTAATATTTCGCTTAATTAATAGAATTTTGCTAGTCCCGACTGTATTAATTTATAGAGGTTTAACTGTATAATTGCATTCTTATTCATATTACAGATCCTGCGATTATTCATAGAGACATTAAAGCGTCAAACATACTGATTACGGAAAATCTCAGAGCCAAAGTGGCCGATTTTGGATTTGCGCGGTTAGTTTCGGAAGATCCAACGGCAACTCACATTTCTACGCATGTTAAAGGAACCGCTGGGTATTTGGATCCTGAATACTTGAGGACTTATCAGCTTACTGAAAAGAGTGATGTCTACTCCTTTGGTGTTTTGCTTATCGAGATTGTGACGGGAAGGCAGCCTATCGAGTCAAAGAGAAGCCTCAATGAGAGAATTACCACAAGATGGGTGAGTGATACGAGACTTAAGAGTAACACTACTGGTGCATGCATATTACTTCATCCGTTCCATAATATCTGACTTTTACGGTTTTTATACGCGTTTTGAAAAAAATTATGAGATATGGTTGAATTTTAGAAAAGACTTATAAAAGGCAAGGCATCATAAAAAAGACTTATAATCTTTACCATTTAATGAGTGATAAGATGAACTACTTCATCCGTTCCACAATATCTGTCACTTTAAAAAAACAAAAAAATCATTTCATATAATCTGTCACTTTAGAATTCCAATACTGAATTAATTATATATTTTTCAATTTTACCCTTATTAATTCTCCAACACTCTCTTGCATTAATTAGTAAACAATGGTATTCTAATATAAAGTCTATTTTCCAAAAGTCAAGATACATTTATTGAGATTCTTACGACTTGTGCAGATGTGAAAAACGATAACTATTTAGGAACAGAGGGAGTAATGAGGATAAAACAAGAAAACATGCAATTTAACGCGATATTTGAACTCTAACGTGAGACATAATATGGAACAAAACATTTCTCTAAATCGACAGATAATTTGGAACGAAAGTAGCATATCACTATAATATATATGCAATTGACAATAAGTCTTTGTTCCCACGAATCATATAAGAAGGACCAAAAACGCATATCACAAAGGCAATTGAGGCTAAAAGAAAAGAAAACAAACTTAGAAACGTTCTTGTTATGCAGGCACTTAGGAGACTGAAAGACGGAGAAGTAGTTGTGGCAATGGCTCCAAGATTGCAAAGGAGCTTGGCCTCGATCCAGGCAGTTGAAGAAGTCCTCAAACTCGCACGCCAATGCCTTGCTTCATCGAGATTCTCAAGGCCCTCTATGAGG